CAGCAGACAGGGGTGGGGGAGTGAGAGAGAGCAGTGCTACATTGTATGTAGATCACAGCAGAAGGGGTGGGGAGTGAGAGAGAACAGTGCTACATTGTATATAGATCACTGCAGACGGGGTGGGGTGGGGGGGAGTGAGTGAGAGAGAGCAGTGCTACATTGTATATAGATCACAGCAGACGGGGGTGGGGGAGTGAGAGACTAAGCAAGAAGCAAAGAGTAAAGGAAACTGGATGTGGGCCAGGTAAGCGAGCTTCAGGGTGAAACACTGGTATCAAAACTTCAAATTGAAATTTCTCATTTTTTTTTAATGTAGGTTTCTTCCTGAACGTGCCTTAAAAGCTATAAGTCGTATACAGAGTATTCAATTTGAAGCAATTGTGGGCCACAAAACCAAGATGAAGTAATGCATGCAGAGCCACCAACAACATAAAGCCAAGTTTAGAGTGGACACGTTTTCTTTCACACATTTTAAATGTTCCTCATGTTTAAAATGCAGGCTTGGCCCAACTCTCCTTCTGGTTTCCCATACTTATGGATCTCTCAGACCCTGGTAGTGGGTTCTGGCAATGGAGATATAATAAGATATTGTCCATTATATAACAGAATGAAAAGACAATTAGTGTGATTTTATAAAATAAATTAATAAACAGAAATATGAGCAAAGGGGCAAGATAATAAAGTCTTGGACACATGCTGACACGCTGTAGTGATTTCTGTTTCCATGGAGGGGTTGGTGGCGTCTAAATTTGCTCTTTGTGGATAGGATGAAAACTCTGCCTGTTTCCTTGACATATGAATTAGGAAGGAGTATTTTTGTTCCACATTTTTTTCCTCAGTGTGCAGTTTTCTTCACATCTTGTGAAAGGGTAATGAAGCTATTTTATTTACCTAACTTGGGGAAGCAAATATTGACACAGTTTTGCAACTGTGAAATCTCAACACCTTGTTCTTTGCTTTAGAAAGACCTTGGACACATTTGTTTTTCTTTTTACTCTATTAGGCAATAACTGAAAATATCCAACTATATACATATTAACAGTGACATGACCTCCCACAGAGATCCCATTATTGAAGCAGGAAACCTTCCTGGGTTTTCATTTGGTTTCCGTATTTTGCGTCAGGGGACTCATCCCACGAACTAGCACAGGTTAAGCAGGAAGTCTGCATTGGCCTCCTGTGCAGCTTTATCTCCACATTTTGCTTTCATACTTTGTAAGTGACGCTCAGAGGCATGCAGCACGCAGCAATGATCTCTTTTGCCCGATCCCACACATTTTGAGTGTAGATATCTTCCTTACAAGTTCCAGGTTCATTTCTAAATATTTTTCTGTGATAATCTTCACGTTCACAATTCTTACTTCTGCCAACATTGCAGCCCCTTAGACTACCCACGGGGATGCACAGCTCCCCAAGTAAGACTTTATCTACACAGATCATTTAGTTAGAGACACATCACAGAATTCTTAGGTCCCTATGAGCATGGTGTCATGATTTATTGATGAGTATTTCGGAATGGTCTAAGTATCTATTTATTTTCCACTCAGTTCATTGAAACATCCTTTTTGGTAAGCAGACAGTATCTCCTCTTGTATGGTCTTGAATCATTATCTTCTTTTTTTATCAAATGAACCATTCTCAACCAGTCTCATGGCCACATTGAAAGCCAGTAGTGAGGAGCATGTGAACATCTGACATTACTGTGTAACACTTGGATGCTATAGATCAAGAATGGCACCATGTACAGACATAGCCAATGGAACTGGATTCATGGATGCACACACATGGAGTGAAGAGCTCATCTTCAACAGTCCAGAGCCAGAAGAGACCCCAACAACATCACTCCCCAACCTGCTGATACTTTGGTTCCCTCCATACACTGCTGAACAAGAGTGTACTTACTCCAGAAAGCTATTGTCTGCGGGCTGAGGAGAAAGCTTAGTTGTTAAGAGAACTTCTTGGTCTTTCAGAGGACCTGGATTTAGTTCCAAACACCTACGTAGTGGTTCACAACAGTCTGTAACTCCAGTTCTAGGGGATTTGACACCCTCTTCTGACCTTCTTAAACAGGCAGTCAGGGGGTACCCCTACATCATTCAGGAAAACATTCATACACATAAAATAGAATAAGCACATATTTTAAATGAGTTAATGATACTGACGTTCTAAGCCAGTAAAGTATGTGATTTTCTTAACAGCAATAAAATATTGGCATATAATGTCATCATGCTAGATGCATCATTCTGACTGAATAAATTTCACTCCATCTCCTTCTCCCCAAAGTATTTACAATACTTATGAAATAGAGCCTATTTTTATTTTAAACGTAAAATATATGAGAAAAATTGTATCCTCTCAGATAAAAATGTTTTCTCTGGAGCTGGAGAGATGGCTCAGTAGTTAAGAGCACTGACTGTTCTTCCAGAGGTCCTAAGTTCATTTCCCAGCAATCACATGATGGCTCACAACCATATGATGCCCTCTTCTGGTGTGTCTGAAAATAGCAGAAGTGTACTCATATAAATAAATAAATCTTTAAAATAAAATGTTTTCTCTGGCCTGTGGGTTGGCTCAGTAGGCAAAGACACTTGCTGCCAAGCCTAACAACCTGGATTCAATCTCCAGAACCCACAGATGGGGTTCAGAAAAAATGTCCTCTAATCATTGTACCCATGCCTTGGTATAATGATCATCTATACACGTGTGTGTGTGTGTGTGTGTCTGTGTGTGTGTGTGTGAAGGTTTCTTTGGAAAGTCAGTTGGTGTTTTACTGGGGCAAACACATGAAGGAATGTTTTCCTGAAATGGACACAGGTGAAAGGCTAAGGAAGACTTGTAAAGGAACATTTCACTGAAGCAGACACAGGAGAAAGGATGTTCTACTAAAACAAACACATGAAAGGACATGTGATCAAGGATTCTTCACTAACAACACGCTTGTATTGGCCTGCCTTACATTATGTACTTGAGCTCCATTTGTCAGGACTCCATAGAGAGAAATGCATCAAAAATGTTCTGGTGGTGTGCTGCAGTTTCTTGCCACTTCTGTGGGCTGATTGGCAGAGTGATTCAGCTGAGACAGACATACATGCTGAGGACATGTGATGTTTGGAGAGATATAAATAGAACTGATGATGGTGGGGGCTGAGCTTATCTTGCAAGGTTTCCAGTCTTCACTGATCTTCACTTCTCTGAGAGAGGCATAGCTGAGAACTTTTCCTAGTGTTCCTCCCTGGTCCCTCCTACTGACTTGTGCCAAGGCTGAGGCCTGGCTGTCTCTGCTAGGTCATGTCACCTTGTTGCTAACTTGACTCTGTGGAACTGGACTGCTGGTGTATCCGTGAAGTGTTTGTGAGTAGATCTAGCTGCCACTGCTGACCCATGAACTGAACTGCAGATTTCTAGACAACACAGATGGGAATTGCTCTAAAGAATCATTTCTAAATAGTCCTACTTTCCCTGTTTCCTTTCTTTCCCATTACCTCTGGTGGGTGGTGAGCTAAAAGGGGGGTTAAAGCATTTAAGAACCATCGTTAAAAATTGGTTTTTTAAAAAATAAAGTTACATGTGTGCGAAATTTTAAGGAAATGTTTTATTTTGCTTTCCTTGGGTCAGAATCCTATCTATAGCTCTATACTGGGCACTAGCTCGATATGTAAACCAAACGGATTTTGAGACAGAGGATAGAGTTTGTTGAATGTCCATAAAGTCACAAATCACCTTCATTGGCAACAATTTGCCAAAGAGTTCTGTTTTCTTCCTCTGATAGCCAACCAAGCTCTAAAACCTCACACATCACATACCACAAGTCACTCTGTGTGTGTGTGTGTGTGTGTGTGTGTGAGAGAGAGAGAGAGAGAGAGAGAGAGAGAGAGAGGAGAGAGAGAGAGAGAAAAAAGAGAGAGAGAAGAGAGAGAGAGGAGAGAGGAGAAAGGAAAGAGAGACAGAGAGAGCAAGGGGGGAAAAATAAATGATAACTATTTAAACACATGTGAACAAAAGGCTAAAGGATAGGCAGCAGATTCCTGTGAGCTTTTAAAGAGGGCTGAGAGGCAGAGGAGGAAGCTGGTAGGGTGGCCAGGGCCCCTCTGTGGGAGATGAGACCTACTAGAGGTCCTGTCATGGAGCCCAGGGCACTGCAGAGTTGTACTGAGCCTCAGGGTTGATTTGAGCTGCAGAGGCTAGTTGAAGAAGCATGGGGTTTGTAGAGGAAAGGGATGGACCTAGGTTCAGATAGACACATGAGCAGATGGATTGCTAGCCAGGATGGACAAGTGGCAGACGGACAAACCGATGGCAATAGGCTATATCAGCAATGGGGACAAACTGAGCTGAAGCCCCTGTGACAGCTGGGAATCCCCAGCCTGTTATCACACTGTTAACATACACACAGAGTAATCAGATGACCGATGTTGGGGGTATTGTCATTGTGATGTCAGGGGTTCTGGTTTCCAGGTATAATGTTGAATCCTATCTTTGGGCTGTTGTGTCTGATAAATTCTTAGGCCTGGTTTTCATGACAGGATTTAGATATACCCACCTGCTTACAAAATACCAATTTGCTGTGATGTTTCTAGAATGGAATCTTTTTTTTTTTTTTTTTTTTTTTTTTTTTTTACTTTTAGGAACAATTTTTTTTTTTTTTTTTTGACTCTGCCTTATGAGCTGTGCCAAACTGACTGAGTTACATGCCCACCAAAGTGCAGTGTCATCCTCTGTGCATTCAAAATGATATCAAAATGTTTGTAAAATGGAGTTCCTCTGGGCAAGACACATCCTGGGGAAACCAGAGTTTCGACCACATAGAGCCAGGCATGGCCTGATCTCAGCTCTCAGCAGTGACACATTCTTCAGTGTTTGAAGAAAAGAGGCAGCGAGGCAGCTCAGGGGGTTAAGCTCTACTCCCATTACCTCTTCACATCTCCCGCATGTCATGATGGCCTGAGATCCAGGAAGGAACCATGCTTTCTTGCCAGAGAAAGATGGGCACTAACCCCGTCTTGTGGGCTCTGCATCTTCATAACCCAATTACTTCCCGTATGCTCAGCCTCCGAGCGGTGTCCCACTGGGAGATGAAATCTCAGTATATGAATTTAGATGAGTATTAACACTGAATCAATAGAAAAATATCAATTTATCTTTTCTTGGCTGATGGAAAGATTTTCCTATTCAAGGACTAACACTGGATAATCTTGGAGATGTGTCCTACCTGTTGCAATGTTGGGTTCTCAATAGCATCTATGTTTGTTTTGACATGGCTGGCAATTCTGAAGACTCATAGATATGGGTTGAAATCCCTTTAAATCAAAAACTATATTATAAATAAATAACCTATGACTATAAAACCAGTATAGGCATGTTTAAACAAGTGGAGAAATGGAAAATTTTACTAAGATACTTAAGCTACTCCCAGAGTGACAATAGTGTTGAGTTACTGGCTTTAAGCACTATAATGCGTTCTTTTTTTTTTTTTTTAACATATTGCCATTTGAAGAAAACCATTGAAGGATTTGCTTGTATTATTTTCCCATGTTTTTATAAATCTGAAAGTTTTCCAAACATGAAAAAGGTTTGGGCTCTACCATTGAGCTGTATTTCAAGGAGATCCTCTTCCCTGTACTCAAGGATGCCTCAGTAAAGAAACAGCAAACATCATTGCCCCCTTAGAGGGAAGGTTTCTATTGTAGATAAGAGAGAGAAAA